ATTTCCTTGTTATGAGTAGATTAATAGCTCGATCGATGCTGTGCATGCCACTACTAGCCTTGATGGTCTTGATGGCTCCGCGGGAAAATGTCGGCAAAAGTGGATTTACTAAGAGTTCCTAGTCTTCGTTCGTTCGCAAATAATTCTAGTCTGTGTTCCTCGCAGGAAACACCGGATGAAGCGGAAAACGACTTCAAGAAATTGCTCGTATACGGAGTGAATGAAAATTATGATTTTGTACGCAATTTACATAGTTTAATTTTCTAGTGTGAAACTCCGCGAAGTTAGCATAATAACTTCACTAATGATAGAAACCGTTCGAACACAAAAGCGAAAGCTAGAACTTCTATTTGTAATTTTGAGCTTCACCCCGAAAGAATTACTTGGTAGTTCTGCTTATTATTTTACATCCATGGGTAAATATAGCCTGAGACTTGGCAAAAAGTAAGCCTGAAATTTTAGGGATGGTTGAACCCGACCGATAACTGATAATTTCGAAGAACTGCAACCAATTTCCCCGGCTTTTTTTTTTTTTTTTTATTTTCATCAAGTGGAAAGAGCGGCCAAGAATTAAGAGACAGAGGGGAAAAAGAACTCTAGGAGTAGCAACTGAAAAACTGCTGCTGAGTCATACTCTCGGCATGATTAGTCAATCTTATCATTAAATATCATTTCTCTCCGAATTATTTGCATATATCCTCATTAATCAAAAGCAATTGCTTGTCATCATATTGTCGTGTCAGTCATTTAAGCGTCTTACTACACATAACATGTTTTGAAAACTTCCTGGATGCAATCTCGGGAAGATTGCCATCAAAGAAGAAGTGAATAGGCTCAAGTGATCGACTAACCGCGGAAGTCTTCTTAAAAACAACAACACGTACAACTCATAATGGACGCTATAGATTTAATAGAAGCTTTATGAAATCTAAATACGATAGAAACACAAGGGCTTGTAACTGGTATAGATGCATTTACAACGATTTAGAGCGACTTAATTGTAACCTGTGAAATAGAGCAAATGGAATTAAAGTTTGTCCCCTCAAATCGGTATAAAATGCGCGCAAATATATTTTGTTATACCATCAGTCTCGAGTTTCCGTGTTCAACCAGTTTGGTTCCATATCAGAAAGGTTAAGCTGAGGGATCAGGAGAAAAAAGGGTGTGTTCGTTCCGCTCGCCTTTAGGCGCGATTCATGTCGGAGTCCTACTGAATATATCGAAGGGGGTGTTTTTTTCTTTATTTTCAGTCGCTCCATATATCTGCCTCACGCACCAAAGGAACTGAAATTCTTGAAGTAGCTACGTGGACGCTAATTTACCAAAGGGTCATAACGGCGTTTACCAACCCCCTACTGTTCAGTCCAGTCTGAAAACAAATGCGGACTATTAATGATAGACAGTGTTCAGTGTTTATGCGGTGAATCTCACGCACTGATCGAGGCGATGATTGAAAAATCCGGGTCATAAAGTTTAAAATGGCGTTTTCAGAGAGCATTTAAAAAGCGGAAGTCTACAAAACCGCGGGTGGATCGCTCACGCAGAAATTACATAATCAATAATGACAAAAGCTCTGGCGAAGCCTGTTGGAAGCGATTGAAATATTTGCCCAATTGTAACCTGAAATCTCTTTGCCGGAGTCCAGTCTTGCAACAGAAGTGATAAAGTTTGCAGAAATATCTATTTATAGCTATAGGCCCCAAGCCAGAGCTAAGAATCCACTTGGCATATTCTAGCACTTTGTTATAGAGAGACCGCTTTGAAATTGGCGAGCCGCATTCCTAGTATTTGATTACATATTTGAACGATTGCAAAATCTGACATCCTTTGATTCCTAAAAGAATGTGTCCAAATAAAACCATTTTACCGAATGATTTTAAATATAAAGGCTTATTCATTTTACAGCCTTTCTTTCATCTTCATGACTTTCCATGGGCAGGAACCGTTTCTAATGAAACTCGAGATGAAACGTATTTGTTAGTATTGACCTCTAATTTGCTGTAGATAGTACACCTGAAACTACCCAGCAAACAGCACGTAATATTTTTCCACCTTAAACAAAGATCTTTTTTTTTTTTCTTTATAAAAAGACCCATCGTTTACGCCAAAGCGGAAACAGCTTTTTTTTAACCTTAAGAATTGTGTGAGGTTATACTTCCACATAAAAAAAAACATTACGTCGGAACATTAAATACTATATCGTGACCTTTCGATAAACAATTGATGTCAAGTGTTACTCAGCAGATATGTACATTTGTCGAAGGTTATTTAAGGTACACTGATCACGTTTGCTTGAATTTTCAGAGCCAATCAGTTCCAGCATACTTATGATAAATCATCTTTTAGCCTCCATTCCACATCTTTCCTCTGATTTCTTAATTCTTATCCTTTCGAGCCTTTTAAACCGTTCAGAAGTCCTAATATTGCTCGTCAGTAAGATTTACTTCAGAACGTTTTTGGCAAGTAGCGAATTTAAAATCTCTGATTTCCCTTGATTTTTTTCCTTACCTTCGTGGAAGAAAAAACTGGCGAAAAATTCAAGACAAATAATTCAGTCCTTATTATTTTACAAACAGATAACAGGCAAGCCGTAAAGACAGAGTGAAGTTTTTGAAATCGCTGCTAAGAAGAGTGACCCCACAAGTTTTGCCTCACAACTGCTTGTGAAATGATAAGGACTAAATTATTTGCGTTAAGTATTTCGACAATTTTTGTCGTCATAAAGGTAAGTGAAAAGCAAGGTAAATCTGAGGTGAATCTGGGCATATATCATTTTTGCAGTAATTCAGTTCGTGGTGCCGGGTAAACTCTACATATTTGGTGGCCGAAGAGGGGCTTTTTTCTGAATGCTTTCCAAGTAAAACCGCCGCCCTTTCTTTATCTAAATTTAGAATAATTGTTTTCTTACACGATTGAATAAGAGGAAAAGTAAATAATGTATTCTTTTGAGATGGTTACGCATTTCCGGCTTGCAAGATTCAGAACGTGACTTGAATATTTGCGAACTCTCTGATGCACTCAACTTCTGCGGTTTTGATAGCTCGTGTTTGTTTCCGTTTCGTGATAATGCCTTGATTGAGTGTCACAATCGAAAATGTCTTTCAAAAATAAATTAGATATCAGAGCAGTGAATGCTAGAAATAATAGAAGCTTTACTAATCATCAAGCGAGTGATGAAAGAATGAAATTAATTCTAAAGCTCTTCACAGCAGTCACTAGTTTAAAAGCGACCTCCTGAACGCTTGCAGATCTCGAAACTTTCAAAAGGGATTAGTGCGTTTAATTTCATTGCTTTGTTTACTTTTATGATGTTTTCGACCGAGAAATTTGCGGTATCTTTGAAATTCTCACAGCTTTCTTTGTTTTTGTTTGTAGGAATAACATTTGCTTCTCAAAATTTGAATTTGTATTCGTAGCTAATAAAAGAGAAATCAAAAAAGTTTAGACTAGATCTCGCCAAAAATTTCTGATATTTCCGCGTGCGCAAAAAAAAAAAAAAAAAATCGAGAGGGAAAAGAAAGCACAGGCAAGAGTACTCAAAGAATCACTGCATGACCGAACTAATGCCTCACTGTCAGCTATAAAACGAAATTATGCTGTCAGCACAAATTTACTCAGTACACGACTCGTTCTCGACAATCTAGGCATCCGCAAACTTCCTGAATTTCTAAAACTTTAATTCAAACTCTTTCATTGGCACCAGCTTTTAACCTCATGCAACAAAATATCTTAGCCAGCATATGTTTTGGTGTACGTAAAATTCTATTCTTCGATTTCAATATCCGACCAGTCAAGGTGACGGATGCGCAATTTTCCCAAACCCTTTACAATGTATCGGCATTGTTTTAAGTTGGCATCAGCGTTCTTCAATTTGCGTCAGCTCTAAGTAACAATTATCGAAATACTTTCAGGAGTGGCGTAACGAAGCTTGCAATTTATGACAAGATAAGATGAACCATATACAAATTAGGAAAACTTTTTCACCTACACATTTACACTAGAAAGAAAATGCGGCTAGCTTTTCATACAACTAGGTATATCAGTCTTTGAAACCTCAGGCCGGAATATTGGAGCTTTATTTTGAAAGAGTCGGAAAGTCGCATTCAAATATAAACTTAATAATTAAAGACTTCACGTTTTGCTGCCATTTAAGCAGAAATCTCTTTCAGGTTTCACACCCTCTTAAGGAAACACTGAAAACATTATTAATATTAGTTTAAGTGTTGGCCATTTTATATGGAGCTAAAATGAAAATAACTACGTTGTTCTACTATTCAGGGAGTGTTGCGTTTGTTTGCGGCCACATGGCCCAATTTGTTGACGTAAAGATTTTAACACCGGCACTGCAAAATTCAGAGTTCAAATAGAATATTTACAGGTTGCAAACAAAAACCGTGTTAGTTTTTTTAAGGTTCCACCGGTACCACAAGTTGGACCGCTCTCCTTCAACCGGCTTTCAGTGGTTATGTAAGATGAAAAGGTGTTTTTGTTTGATTGTGTGAGTTTGGTTTTCAAATCATGTTACCGATTCTTATTAATTGTCAAGTCATGGTCAGGTTTCAGTGAACCACGAATATGTCCCTTGAGATCGTGATCCGAGGATTCACCTAGCTTTGAGGAAACAAAGGCAGTTTGGAATAAAACTAATTTGAGGCAAGCAAGTCATTAAAAACATGTTCTATCAATAATTTATCGCCAATAAACGAACGTTTTTAGATTGGCCTTGACATTTCATTAAAAAACATAAACAAAGCCTCCGTAAAACGCTTTGCCGGAAATTGCATTTGTGTAAAAGACGTTTTTCGAACATTTCTAACAGCATTTGTCTCCTGGGTACAATTTCTTCATTGTAGATATTTCTTTCGTTTAAAAAAAAAAAAGCGAAAATTAACCGGCAGTTTTTCGAAACTGGATACCACTACATAGTCGACTGATTTTTCAAGAACTATTCGTATACAAAGCAATCGTAAAGTGACAGAGGGCAGTGATGTTTTTGTTACCATTGTTTTTACAGGGTCAACAACACGAAGCGATAAATGAGAAAGTGGCAGCTATCCAATGAGAAACACAACCGGTGTTCCAAACAAGTGAACTGACCAGTCGGTGGAGCTTTTTGCCGTGTACCTTTGATTGACAGCTACAACGTATGTTACATGTCACATAACTTATGCAAGACGCAGCTGATTGGCTTGTTGTAGAGAGGGTCTTTATTAGCTTCTTTTATTGGTTCTGGTAATAGCGGGGAAGACATGTCACATTTCATCTGTCAGCAATCGAAATCAACATTGATGAGTCTCCTGTTTCCTACCTCAAACGATTTTACGGTAAATCTAGTTTTAATTTGAGAATAGATCTCGAGGGGAAAATGTTCGTCTCCTTGTTTGTGGCATGGTGGATGGCCTGCTTAGCTACAGGAGTTTCAGGTGAGCGTAATTTCAATCGCGCAGTGCCACTGTTACATTTGCATCGCGCAGCGACGTTTTCTTGAGTTTGGTTCGGAGATGTTCCCAGCTTTACAACCACAACCCAGAGCATCCCCGGGTGAGGATATGGAGGCTGCAGTTAAGAAGAGTGAATTTAGAATAGGGCGAGTGGAGAAAGAGCTACGATGAACTGTGAGATAGCCAGTGGATAAGAGCGCTTGTTTTGAGAATAGACCAAGTGAAGCGCGGCAGCTGCTCATACACACAATGGTGGTAGCGAACGTACTACATCATGTTAATACGACGACTCAGTTGTTCGTTTAACGTACCGAACGTGGCCTGACATGCATTGAATGGGGCTTTATGCTAATGTTCTCTTGGAAACTTTGTAGAACTGTTTTGTTTTGTCTATAGTTTGGCTGTTTACGTTTCTCTTTGCGCAAAGTTTTACGCTAATGGCAAGCGAACATAGCGAACGCCACAACCGCAATCTACTCTCTTCCCGTTTTAAACGGAATAACCAAGGGTGACTGCCGGTGATCTTGAGATGATAAGTACTGCCAGTTACCTTAGATTTACCCTTAAAGTGAAGGTCAATTTCGACGATATGTAGTCATTATTCGTCGTAGAATAACTGAAGGAATTTTTCCCTCTGTTGTCGAGTGGTTTTGAAGGGCTCGATCAACGTTCACGTAGGAGTATAAACTGTGGTGCGCAAGTGAGAAGGAATGATTCCAATGAGTTCTTGCGATTTCCTGCCCCTCTCGTAAACTAAACCATAATTTCCTCATACTTTTTGTAGCGAGGTGCTACTCTTTGGATACAGTAGAAGAATAAATACTGTTCACTCGGGGCTTGATTAGTCTTACTAACTACGTCCTAAACATAATTTTCAGGCTTTTCCGGATTGGTTCCTATTTCATTCATTCAAGAACCGAGCTACACCGTAGCCTACAAAAATAAGCCAGTTACGTTAAAATGTAGAGTGGATGGGAAGCCCCCTCCGTCCAGTTTCACATGGGAAAAAGACGGACAGGAAATCATTCTTGATTCAAGGAGGAGGATACAATCAAATGGAGCGTTGCACATTACAAGAATAATCCATACGCGGGAGAGCAAACCCGATGTTGGAGAATATCAGTGCTTTGCTTCAAATGTAAGAGGCAGAATTGCCAGTCGCAAAGTTCGTTTGGATGTCGCTGGTAAGTAATGAATAAAGTACGTGTTTGTAAATCGTTTTGTACGATTCAGTGAACAAATTCATTGTCGTGATTTTGGGAGTTCGTGTTTCCAACCTACGCGGCCAAATTACCGTGCTCAATCGCGCAGTTCCATTCGTAATCGCTAAAGATCTATTTCCGAACAAGCTCTCTTCCGGCTGTGGTGAAAATGATTTGGAAACCACAGGTTTTTTAATGTTGATCTCTTGGCTGACCTTAAAAAAAATGATGAGAGGGAAACGGCGGTAAAAAAACTGGGCATTCCAGTTACCAGCGTACATATCAGTTCTTAAGCCCATTTGGCGTATTTACATCTTCGTCATAATCACGCGATTGTTGCCTGTGGCGTGTTTTTTAGTTTATTCGTCTTTTAGAAAGAACGTTTCAATTATCTCTTCACTCAAAGAGTGTAATTTGTTTTAAAACATGTTTATAATATTTCAATGACCCCAAAGTTTAACCCTGAGAAGCGACTGAAATCGTTCTGAACGATTGATGGCTATTCAAGTATGAACGTCGATCGCAGATAAGCTCGGCGGTAGTGTTTCTCCACCACTGTCAAACATACTGTTTGCTTTACTTTCTTACACCAGCTTATTCTCTTTAAATGTTAACCTTAAGAGTTTTATTCGTAACTTGTGAGAGTAAATACGACGTCTCTGTAAGGATGGACAAAAACGTTATAAGCTGTTGGGTATGGTGCACTTTGCCCCAGCTGAGAACTTAGTGAGCGGATGAGATGAGCTGGAATCATTCGTTTAGATCAAGGCTTAATGCTCTTATAGAGTGTTCTTGTCGTTTTTACGTTATCAGCGAAACATTAAATATGCTATCGATCGGGCTAACTATCTGAGATATTTGATCGTAGCAACATGAACGTCCCTTTACTTGCTTCGTTGCATCGTTCAAAAGATTGACAAGGCACACTAGGTTTCTGTGCTTCCGTTAACTTTGGAAGATGGAGTGTTCGAATTTCGTTGCAACGACAAAGAGGCACTTGAAATTATCTTTAAATACGATGTTTAATCTTCGTTGTTGCACGCACGTACAAATACCACGCTGTGAGGCCACATCTCGTCTTCTAGCTTCATTATCGTTGTTTTCAGGACACCTTTTGACCTTATCAAAATAAGACAAACTCGTCGGCGGAATTCCCAAATTGACATTTATTTCATGTCTGGAAAAAGTAAAAAAAACACACAAACATACACTAAGAAAAAAAAATTTCTTCGCCGAAGATTTCTATCCTGAAACGTTGTGGGTCCAACAGCAACACAACATGGCGGGCCCTTTATGTCCTCTCCTATACGGTGAGTTATGTATGATTAATCAGGATTGGCTCTTTGTTATTAGGGCCAATGAGAATCAACCATTGAATGTATCGATGATCACGTGCTAAATGTTTTGCCTTTTTTTTTTTTCTTCTTTTTTGCAAGAAATTTTGATCAGTTGTAGCTCAATTTTCCCAACCCAATTGAAAAACATGTGCTTTGCAACCAACATGATTTGTTTGTTTTTGTTGCTCCTCTCACCACATGTTACAGTGGTTTCTCTAAAACTCCCAAATTCTGTCAAGGAAAGGGATGCTACTTACGGAAATTAGTTGGCTCTATTTTGATATTTTCTTAAATTAATGACCTTGCAGAAAAACATGGAAAATTTGATATCCAGCCGACACAAAATTGAAATATTGGTTGAGGACAAACTGCAGTAATTTTTTTAGGTTTTGATTAAACAGAGGTAAAATTAGAATATGACATCATTCATATTAGTCTGAGTTTTTGAATTTTACTAAAAAGCAAATTTTTTTGTCCTTTTGGCAAAATTTTTTTGTTAGTTTAAAGATGTTTGTAAAATAAAGAATAAGGGTATTCAAATTTGGTGCAGGCACATGGATTGTATGTTTTCAAAATCAAATACAGTGTATTAGGATTAACTTCGAGTAAAATATTTAATTGACAGCTTTTATTATGCTATCTTATAAACACATTGGCTAGTTGTGTGCAGAAAAGGTTTTTCATAGAAAATTATCAGATATTTATCATTTTGAAGATTTACTCTGAGTAGTAGATATAAATTGGGAGATTTCATGAGTCAAGAGGATAAAATGACTCTCATGAGAAGGGTGCAAACAATATTTACATCCAAGGACAAAAACTTTGTTACTATCATAATGTTCTAATGACCTAGGAGCACTTTGAAAATTAAAAAGTGAAAAAATGACAACAAATCAGTTGGAACAATCAAGCAAGGGTGCAAGTGGGCTAAAACACATTTGAACTTGTCAAAATCTCCATTTTAACCATTAAAATGCACCATAATGCCAACAAATTGATAATTTTAGATCACAGATGATGTTGAAATATGGTAAGAATAAAGTGGCTAATGATTGTGCCGCAGAGTGTCAGTGATGTTCTTACTACATTTTTTTTGTCATGTTTGGTTTATTACTAAATGAATGGATATGGCAACATGGAGTTGATTTGTTTTACACAACAAAAAAGCAAAGCACTGTTGATGATGACACCATCTGTGTAGCTGTCATCCTATAAATCTAAGTAAGAATCAAACAGAATTTGTGAATAATTATTTAAGCATCATACTAATTGTGAATTGTAGCCAGTCAGTTGCAGTGAACTGTTGTGTCTTACTGCAGAAAAGTGACGCCAATCCTTGGTTAAAACGGCGGACCGAACTTTAATAATCACTACCTAAACTACAGTTACACATTATGTATCACAACCTCAATATGCATGCAACTTAGCTATATACGTTTACTCTCTGGTACCTCTCATGTCATGTAACTTACACCAAGTGATGGTTCCTATTATTTAAATCCTAATTCATTAACGCTATAACATTAATTAAACCCTAGTTCATTAACACTATAACATGAACCATGTGTGTTTCCTTCTAGTCACTTAATGTTTTGCTTATCATATAATGAATATGTTAGATGCAATTTATTTTCTATTAACAAATCATTGATATATGATCATCAATTACTAAGAATTGTCAGTTGACATGTACCATAAATCACATTGAATTGCACAAGTACCGTTGAGCCTGTATTAAACAGTACTGTATTAAGTGGTCACCCCATATTAAGTGCTCCATTTTCAAAGTTCCACCCAAAATTGTTACCCTAGCAGTTACCTTTATTGAACACGAAGGCACGCTATAAAAGGAGACTTAGGTCCCACTGGACCATTTTTCAATCAACCGTCGTGTGATGTAGAACTCTTAGAGTTAAGTCAGCTTGAGCTACAGCTACTCCAAAGCAGTGATCGAACAGCAGGCGCATTCCTCAAATTGTTTTATGTCTTCATCGCAATACAAGAATTTTTGAAATTTGTATTTCCTTTCTCCAATGGAAACTGTCGTTATTTGTGGCGGTAAATTTGGGATCGAAGTAGGTGGTTGGCACATTACCTCATGCCACCATGCTGGTGGAAGTAAACACTAGATATCTCATTAGCTCCATTTGTTCGTCTACTGGCCAGTATTTAAATTTGACCCACACACGTCAACGGTGAGTGACAACTGAGCCTAGGTCTTCCCAGAGAAGACTTCCTTATATAGGGCGTCTTCGTGTTTAAGCAGTCATGTTCACTCTTTACTGAGTCCCAATAGTCTTTTTGCATTGTCATCCACCTGTGTTGAATGGTCACTTAAAGGAACCACTCACTAAGTGAACCTAAGAATATAATCTTTCAAGTAAAACTGAACTGATCCCCTTTTATCTCCAGAAATCAATGATAATTAGTATTTTTGAGCAAGTTTTGTACATTGAGTGGTCAACCATTGCATAAAACAGCGTTTTTTATTGTTTTTATAAATACCCTCATCTGTGAAACTTGTCTTAAGGGGTCAACCTGTATTATTAAGTAGTTGCCCCACCATTCCCTTTGGCGAGAGCTTAATACAAGTTCTACTGTATTCTTTATATTCAGATTGTTCTTGCTTATGAAGTGAGTGTAAAATTTGAAGCATAACAGAAGAAATTCCTTTTAATATGTACAGTTCTGTACATCAGTTGGTTCATTTGACAGCTGTCTTCATCAATTTATCAAGCACTTTGCCACAAGTGACTCGATCTTAAGCATCTTTCGTGCTGTTAAAACTTTCCCTTCGCATCTTATATCTTCAAGTTGATGAGTGCTCAGCTAAGTGTATGAACTAGTTGTTAAACTGACTTGTGATAGTGATACATGTACTTTGAGATATTATGGTGAGCACAAACATCTTCAACATGAAAAAGCTACAAAATATTTTGTTCTTGTTGACTGTGAAAGGTCTGGACACCATGACCAGCTTGCATCAACATGTCTAGTCCTGAACCTGACACCTTTAATTATGATTTATAAACCATCTGAGACACCTGGAGGGACCTGATTGATCAAAGACCTATCATTTATTTTATGAAAGGAATATAGGCCCTCTTTCTCTAGGTTTACCAGCGTAATAATGCACTTGGGATGTTGGAAGAACAGAAGAAAAGTTAAATCACTCCCTCAGCTCATGATTTATATAAACTTTTATCATATTCTCAAAATATTCCCCATGGGTTATTATGCTGGTAAACCCATACAGTACTGCTCAGATATATGTGGATTAAGCACACTCATTTCATATGCTTGGGTAAGGCAGCATAGCCAGACATGCATATATGATTTTTATGCTTGCATGGACAAAAAAATGCATGACTTGTGTGTCTTAATTTGTTTTTCAGGGCTGTAAGTTTCCTTTGTATGACATTTTTGGGTAAAACAAAGAACTTTTCAGTTTGAAAAAGCAATTAGTTGACAATGGAAATTTTACATAATGAAAAAAGCTATATCATGTTACACTCAGGCATAAGGTGCAGTCTGTTGCTTAATTTGATTAAGATTGCATGAGCAGGCCATCTTAGCATCTCTTTACAGTTGTCTTCAATCATTTTTGAAAAACAAGTTTGGATAGAGGGATGGATACATTAGTCAATAGATCCCGATGACGTGATTGGCCTTCTTCCTCAAATTTATGATTGGTTTTTCCTAGCTTTAGGTGAATAACTCCAAACCTTTGCTTGGCTATTTTTGCTCAATTAATTTGAGTCAAATGAAATTAATTGCTTTTATTTGCATTTTCCTAAAAAAAAATCAAGGCTGTGCACCAAGAAAAACTACAGGGAGCCCAGCACTCTGAAACTTTGAAATACTGGGTGCCCAGCATAAGTTTTCATGTGAAAAACTAAAATTCCCAAGTTGCCCAAGAGCAAAAGGAAGGCATCAGGGGTCACTGGGCACTCAGCACTAGACCACAGCCCTGAAAATTCAATGATGTGATTGAGTTATTAAGAAAAGAGTATTTTAGTTAAAAGAAATGCTTTAAAATTGTCAAGTTGTCATAATCTATGTAAGGCATGAACTCCTCAGCGACCTAATCTGCAGTGAAGAACTTCATTCAGGAGATCCTACTTGAACTTATTAGCACTCTTGCTTTACATTTGAGTTGAGTGATGTGGTTCTCAAAAAGGAACAGGCCAAATCTTGTCATAAATGTTAAAAACATTTAAAAGGAACTGTAGCAAAATCAGGACCCAAAAAGGGGTTTAACCCATTAATGGCCACAGCTTTTGTGGAAAACTTTGTTTTGAAGCTAGTCGAGCAGATCTCGGGTCACTGTTGTGGTTTTAAAAGTTCAAACTTACCAAAAACCCCTTGACAGCTCGTACACTTGATGGCCTTTCGATCCAAATGCACAATGGCGGCCTGAAAATCTCGGGCACGCGCAGAAAGCAAAATTTCGTTTTTGGGTTGAAAAGTAATGCGGG